ATATAATATTTTTATTTTTTTTCCCCCACTGGGTTCACTTTTGTTTGTAACGTTCTATATTACCAACCTGATTAGAAATATTTTTTTTTTCTGATTTTGTAAAGTGTTTATATCAATAGATGAGATAACGGTCCCTATAGTTGGACCTCCTGGGTTTGAATGTACATGGAGGTGGAAAAAAAAAAGAAAAGCCAGGAGGCCAGGATGTAATTAAGACTCTGGAGGTGTGAAGTTTATTATAGAGAAGTGCACTGCGCTGTATTATTAAAGCATTAGCTTTGTTTCAAGGGGTATTTACAAAATGCACTCTCTCCCCCTCCTGACCTCTTCTGGTTTCCAACCCTTTCATCCAATTTGTTCTGAGATTGTTAAGTGAAGCCGAGACCTCACTTTCCCCCTTAATTCCATAATGAGTTATTCTCAATGGCTGTACCGCCTGGAATTAGCACAAAGGAAAAGCATAACAGGATGGGGGAGAAGAGAGCCAAATAAACTTTGAAAGGGGATGTAGAGGGTTACAAAATCCCCTACCACTGTGACCCCGGTTTTTACGCTTCTTATTTTTTTTTTTTTTCAATTGCTTCATTCATTTTGACAGGAAAAAATGTAAATTTTCCCCAAATAGCTAAATGAAATGATACTAATTGTGGGGGGAAAAAAGCTTTTAGTTTTAATCGTTGATTATTTAAAGAATGTAAAAGACCTTTAGAATAACGCTGTAAGGTTTGCGTTGCATCGCGTCCTGTTATGTCTTTTATTCTTTATTAAATGCTTTATTTTTACGGGGTTTGTTTCCATTTGCTTGTAAAGTCTGTTACTTTTTCCTTTTGTTTGCCCCCCCCTCCCCCCTTTTTGTTTATTATGCTTATGATTTGCTTTAGCTGCTTTTTTTTTTATAGAGGCCCCATATTGAATGTCATAATTCTTTAGCCTTGGTGTTAATATGCATTTATTAGATTGTTTTATTTGACTCCCCATGACAAAAGCCCTGGATAATAAAAGTTGAAAGGAGTTATTTTAATATGTTATTTAAAAATTAAGGTCAGGCTCAATTAAAAGTGCTGAACATAAAAAATATGCACGTTTATGTCACCTTTAGTATTATTATTATTGTTTTTGTGGACAGAAACAAAATGTGCCCAAATTTTCCATGGCAGGGATAATACTATGCTCTGTTATGCCAATATTTTATTATAGAAATAATTTTGCTGTGTTCACTTTATCCACGAGAGTCTGTGCACAACAATGAATGAATGTTGGGCCTTTATTCACACCATTGGGAGAGTGACACCTTTTTCTCCATCTGTGGGACAATTAGTACTCCAGATTCCACAGTTTAGCTAAAACAACACCAACATCAACAACAAAAGGCTGAAGTGAAAACTGCAGAGTTAAATTGTCTTCCCCCTCGGCCAGAACTGAATGCTAATTGATTTTCATTATCCGGTGTATGTAGGTCTGGTTCCAAAACCGCAGAGCAAAGTGGAGAAAGAAAGAGAACACCAAGAAAGGGCCTGGACGACCAGCCCATAATTCTCATCCCACCACCTGCAGCGGAGAGCCTATGGACCCTGAAGAGATCGCCAGAAAAGAGTTGGAGAAGATGGAGAAGAAGAAGAGAAAGCAGGAGAGGAAGATGCTGAGGAACCAGGCTCGCCACCAGCACTCCCCTTCCATGTCCCTCCACACCCCAAGCTCTGACAGTGACAGTGGCCTCTCACAGACTAATGAGCCCAGTGTAATGGAGTCTAGCCATGTAGAGGTGGGACAAAACAGGAACCAAACACAGCCAACCTGTGACCAAACAGGGCAAGCTTTTTACCCAAGCCAAAGAAACACAGGACAAAAAGACAGGGTCAGTGATAAAGACTCGCCTACAGAGGCCACCCACAACTCAGGCTTGTGTCCAAATGGAAGGGCCTCTGGTTTCCAGAAGCTTAACCCCTTCAGCGTGGAAAGTTTACTGTCAGACTCCCCTCCAAAAAGGAAAGCAGGGGTGGATTTCACAGGGCTGTCAAGCCCCCGCACCCTGATTGGCAAGGGACACTTTTTGCTGTACCCCATCACTCAGCCTCTTGGGTTCATTGTGCCACAGACTGCCCTCAAGACCAGCTTGACCCAGGAGGCTCCTCTTTCGGGGCAGAAAGACTTCAAACACAACGAGAGCCCAGCTCAGCACAGTCAAAGTACCTCCCCGAAACACTCACAACTTTACACAGCGAAAAACACGAACTCTACACACCTCAGCTTGGCCATCTGCAAGACGGAGGGCAGTGGCCAGATGGCTGGTTCTCCTAGCCAAGCTGGCTCAGGAGACTCAGAAACAGGGCAGCAGGATAGCACTTTTTGTGAGCCAAAATCTCCTTTGTCCCCAAAAGCAGACAGCAAAACCAGAGAGGCATCAGACTGTCCAGAGCCGGCACCCTGCACCCCCAAACCCAGCATAGACTGTGAAGACTTAGACATGGATTGAACCCCTCTACTCCTCAAAGACTCTTCCACACTTCGTACATTCCCAAAGCTGACTCCACAAAAGGCTCGTGTCAAGCCTTCCTTCTCCTCCTCCTTCAGCCTATAGAACAAGTAATTCCTCATCAGGTGCAATGATCTTTAGCTAACAGTGAAGCCGTTTAATTAGCAGTTCAACTTTTTATCCTACCAGAAAGGCTGTAAAATAAAACAACAACAATGTAGTAAGAACAAAAAAACCCCAAAACAAACATAAAAAGCAACGAGAAATCCTCACTCTTTTAAAGTGCAGAAATGTATAAAAATATTTATATATGTAAAACTTTATTCTCCCCTTCTTTCTCTTGTGTGTTTATTGCTTAACAAATGTATGCATCCCATCCCTCCCCCCTTTAGCCTCTCTGACACTCACACACAAGGTTAGAAGCTGCAGGCTATAGGACCCGGCCGTCTCCTGCAGAGTTTTGATATGAAAGTAATTATTTTCCCGGTGGCTGCTGCAGGGATTCAGTTTCTTGCCCAAAGGGTTATTATACATTACCGATTTCTAGTGATATGAAATCACATAAACTTCCTACAATAATAGAATTAGCATGAAAGGCTGGGGTGTCAAATTGAAATTGGAAAATAATAGCATCAGCAGCTGGGGGAGTGTGTGTGCATATTGGATGGGAGATGGGAATACGTGGGGCGGAATTTTCATGAGCTGCTTTCTTTGTCGGGGCCTCTTGTAGCTGGCTATATTAAGATAGATGTTCAATGATATCCCTCATTGTTCTGTCGCTTATATTGATGTTGCTGTGTTATCAGCCTATTGATCATATGTCGCCTGTAATAGGACAGGCGCAGCCAATGCTCCTTTATACAAAAGCAGAACACATTTGTTCTAATAGGGTTGTGGGTCCTCTGGGAACCTCTGTGGGCTCCAGGACATCTGCACCAAAAAAAAAAAACTTGTCTGAATTTAAAATGTGCACCTTATTAACAATAACCCTTCCAGTTAAACAACTACTCTCACCCAAAAAAAATAATTAAACAATTTGAATGCACATTAATTATTTTTCTTTTACCGTGTAACATTTAAAAAAAAATTTCAACCCCTAAAAAAAGGATTTTTTTAACCTTCTTTAAAATTTGGGCCCCCCCCCCCCTTATTCCCTCTTATAAAATAAAGTAAAATAAAAAGTCAGGTTGAATGCAAAGTATTTATCTTGTGCACCTTATTAACAACACCCCTTCTAGTCAAACAACTACTGTCACCAAAAACAAATCTGAACAATTTGAATAGACATTCATTTATTTGTAATCCGTATAACATTTTAAAACATTTTTTCAACCCCTAAAAAATGATTTTTTTAAACTGCTTCTTTAACCTGTATCTCCCTCGTATCTCCTACAAAATAAAATAAAATAAAAAGTCAGGTTGGATGTAAAGTATTTATCTTTTTGTTATACTATCATCCCTATTTCCACTGCAGGCCCTTTAAAAAAAATAAAAAAGCAAAAAAAAAAATCCCTTCTCCCTTCCTGATTTTAAGCAGTGCTCTGGTGCAGTGTGATCCAATCCCCCAAGACACTGAAATCCCAATTATTAAAACCATTAATTCTGGTGAGGCTGTGCAGCGCCAGAATTATGTTTACAGCCTCGTTAAATATCCCTGATCCCTCCTGGTCATCAGTCCTTTATTTGCAAATAAATTGAAAATAATCAGACGGACAGGCTTTACTCTTCGTGCCGGCACAAATGAATTTCTGAGCCTCAGTCCCTTTAATAATATTTACATAATTTTCGCTCAGTCATTCTGATATTTGCTCTCTAGGAGACAGAGCTTATAGGGAAAATAATTAGATCATGAGAGGGAGAGAGAGTGAGGAGAGAGAGACAGGGACTGCTTTACACAAGGAGGAGAGGAGTCTGCGTTGCCAATAACAACGAATCAGCATCCAGCTGACATTTCCTGGTGCGGAATAGAAGCTGAAACGCAGCATCTGATTGGCTGATAGCTCTGCCTTACTTTTTTTTTATCAGATGCAGATTGAGGGATAACACACATTTAACCAAGCTAACGTTGCCTCTTGCATCTACATTAGCAAAACAAACAAAAAAGGTTACATTGACATAAACTATGTGCAGAGGTAACTTAAAGCACATACAGGGTTATTATTAAAGGCGTTGCTTTATTACTATAAATAAATCAAAGCCTGTTTTTTTTGTTACTTAAACACCCAATCAGCTTAAAGGAAATAAAAACTGAATGGGATTGGATGTTGGACACAAATATAGGCTCTCCAGTGGATCTCCTCTATGGCGTCTCTGCCCAGCTATCTATCTCTGCACGACTTAAAGGGTTAATATCATGTGCAAACAAAGAACGTCACAATGCCCTCTCCTTCTTTAAAAATGCATTAAAATATCATCGCCACCGTTAAAAATGTATCAGGGAGCGAAAAACAGAGTGTAAAACGCTGGCTATTTTATCTGTGGTGAACAATTTGCGTGGCAGACATGAATCGCTTCCTTCCTCCAATTTGCAGCTGTTCATTTGGGTGGAGAGGGGAAGGGAGCTCATGTTTAATGGATAGGCCGTTTGAATGTTGGAGTATATCTGGCTGCACACTCGTGTCCTTAAGGTGAAATTACTGATTTACTTAAGCAGTTTAGATTTTTTTTTTCCTCTCCTCTCCTCTCTTTTTTTTTTTTTATACTATGAAAGCCCCAAAAGCAGCAGGCTGTGTGATTCTAGACAAACTATCAATCGATCTGGACCTAGGCAGCCTCCAGGAGATGTGTCTTCCATGAATCATACTTTATGAATTCAATTTCTACCAAGAGAAATTTTCAATTTGAACGCCGGATCATTATGGGAGAGTGTAAATTGTTTTTGCTCTATTATGCATTGGACGCCATCATTTCTCTTTCTAATTACAGAGGTGTCAGGTCGGGCTGTCATGCAGGCGCTGATTTTCAATTTAACTGATCATCATACATTCATTTTCCCATTTGATAAATCTGCTATCTAGACGGCTCTCCATGCCTGGAATATTAAGAGAGAGGCAGCACAGGGGCCTGTAATGGGGAAATGTGTATGCAGCTATAAGTGCAGATCAGGCAGCTAATTTAGCACCTCCTGATTTCCCATCTCCATTCCTCATTTCCAATTCTCCAAGGAGAGAAAAATCAGCCTAGAGGCTCTGCTCCTATCCAACAACTAGAGAAGAGAGAGAGAGAGAGAGGGAGAGAGAGAGAGAGAGGAAGAAATACAGAATAGAGAGAGAGAGAGGAAAAAAATGCCACCAAAAAGCTTTGTTTTCTATTACACAACTTCCAAATTAGGATATCAAGCTTAATTAATGCTAATTGAGTTCTTCAATACGTGTTATTTTTATTTAATAGAAACAAATTTGCACAATTAATTATAGACGTGATTTTAAGAGCCTCGTTTACAGCGCTAGGCTCAGTCTGAATTATGGAGGGGTCAAGAAGAGGTGGTGACTTTTTCATTTATTACACCTATACTATTTTTTTTTTTTTACTTAAGAAAGAAGAGATGAACTGACTCTAAGTAAAGACATGAGGGTTGATTTACTAAAGCAATAGAGACTGTTCGCTTTGCAAAGTGAGCCTCCACTGTGCTTAGTGAATAGGGTGAAGTTGTGTTTAATTGAATCAGCCAACCAATCATGTGCTAGCAAAAATCAATTTTATTTTAAATTTCCCTCACACAGGATTGGTTATTCCAAGTGAATATAAGTTCACCTTATTTACTGTCATTCACTTTGCAAAGTGAACAGTCACTGTCCCACGTAATCAGTTTATACTATATTAGCAAATCAAATGAATGGAGGGACATTTATCAAAACTGGAGCAGACAACATCTGGAGCAGTTGCCAATAGTAACCAATCAGCTTCTATCTTCCATTTCTAAATCTTAACTGAGCAAACTGAAGTGAGAAGCTGATTGGTGACTATGGAGAACTGCTTCAGATTTTGTATGCCCCAGACTTGATACATTCCCTTCATGGTGTTTGGGAAAGGTTCTATGGGGAACTGAAGACTTTTTTTTACATTTTCTTATGGCATTTTTATTTTGGAAAGAACAGATAAGATCTGAATCTGAGCAGAGACATATTGTTTGGGGAAATGTCCAAGGGGAGGTGGTGACTTTCTTTTATTTTTTTAAGAGTACACATAAGACTTGGATGGAAGTAAATATGGGTTGTGAGGTTCAGGGAATGGGGTATATTTCTATCCCTACAAAACCCTAGAAACCATAGGATATATAGAACAATATTATTATTTTATTTCATTTTTAGAGATGGATATTGGTTCAGAGTAGATAGAGACAGGGGATTACTTAGAGGGTCTTGGAGGAGAGTAATCTGTTTGGTCATGGTAACTGATAGACCTTTTAGATTGATGCTTAGCTGGCTCGCCTTATATTAATATAATCCCAGCTTGTTAGTTTTAGCTGAGTGTAACAAACTATGTAGGGGAGAATAGAAGGATGAAGGGTAAAAGGGAAATAATTACAAGAGCCCCTCTAAGAAACGAGCCTGTTTTTGTGCTATTTGTCAAAGTCAGCGAAAGAGCAGGGTTTGCAAATTTGACCTGCTTTTACCTCGTAGTATTATTGTAGCACCATATTAGAAGCAGAGATTTAGCGCTTATGATTAGGTTTTGGCGCAGGCATACAGCACTTGCGCCATTTTTTGGCCCAGATTTACTAAGGAACGCAAGCTTCCGCCATTTTTAAATGTGACAAGAGATAGGGACTTGTATGTAACCGTTTTGTATCAAACACCAGCATTTTTACATCTAGCTCCCCATCACTCAAACATCCACCTATGATGTACAGCCTCATTTATATTTGTGTTTCTTATTTATATTTATCTGACCCTTGTGTATCCTAACACCTTTGGTACTATACATTTTTTTTTTGTACAGAATGGGTTAATTGTCTTAATACTTCCTAGAAGAGGTAATTTTCTACCAGGGTTTCACCTATTGGGAACAAATCAATGCTTT